ACTACTGGGCTGAGAAGCATGTACATGGTATATCTTTGCTGGTCTCTGAACAGCATTTTTCCCAGTCTCTCAAGTATGCCCCAGAGTATCTTCAAGTGTAAGGGTGACAATGAGAGGTGCATGCAGCAATTTCTGAGTTCTAGGGGCCAAAGAGGTAAAGGTAGGACTGGGCCATGGCTCTTATTGACTTCAAATATACTCAAAATGGAGAACTGAAGATGATAAAGACATTTCAAAATGAGATTAAGGGAATGCTGTTCTTGTTGGTAGAGCTATCCATCCACACTTGGAGGATACAACAGACGTGTGGACCTTGCAGTCCACCTATCTAAGTGCCAAACAGACAAAAGTGGGAAGAAACTTCCCATCTGGGATATGAACGAAGTTGAAGAGCAGTAATTTGGCATGAGTCTGTGGACAGATGTTCAGTAAAGAATTTTAGAGTACAGAAAGGTTTTAGGGTTCATTAAAAGAGTAGGTGTCCTTGCAGTTTCTTAGTTTCAGTGGTAGTCAAAGGTTGTGGTGAGTAATTCTGCAGAGCATGGGTCACAGCATTCAGGGCAGATACCACTTGGCCCCTCAGAGTACCTCAGATTTATGGTACATTATTCACAAAGCAAATAGCTTATATTAGTAAAATAAAGTAACAAAGATGCATTGTTTTGTCATGATTATAATTATATGACTGGGATAGGGAAAACAACATCAATACAGTTTCTACACAGATTAGCTCCAGGCCCTGGTGACTGCCTCCCAAGGGAGGCAGCATGCTTGTCCAGCATGTTCTGGGTGGTGGGAAGTGGCTGCAGGGCTTCCTTGTGCTGTGACCCTGCTACCAGGCTCCGGATGCACAGTGCCCTGTGATGCTGCCAGGCTCCACTGGCACTGCTGCCCTGTGATTGCTGCCTTGCCAGCGCTTTCCAGCCAGTGCCTGCAGCTCAGCTCTTGCTTCCTCAGCCCCACATCCCAGTCATCCCTGCCTGATAGCTTTCAAACCGACTCCTTTGTGCTCAGTCCCATGTTGCCCCTTGTGCAGAAGCTGGATCTCTTCTAAATGTCTGCAGTGTGACCTGATTATTTTTCCTGTCCTTCCTTGCCCTCCTTTTTAATAGTGTCTACAGAAAAGCTGGCGAGTTCAGTTATATCAGTCATGCTGACTGATAGTGCTGCCTCTTCTCTTGGGATTCCTCTTCTTTTCTGTCCCTCCAGCATTCATTTCAGATTTAGCTATCAGCCCTCTGAAGACAGGGTATTGCCTTTGTTCTGTGTTTGTACAGCATGGAGCACAGCGGAGTCCCCAGCTGTGACTGAGGTTCCCAGTGCCACAGTGATAAAAGTGAATAGATTGGTAATGAGAAGAGGCAGCTGCTGCCATCTAAAAAAAAAGATTCAGTTTTGGTGCTGGTTTCAGTGAAATCAGGATTGGATCTAAGGCTTCTCTTCTATTGCTGCTCCCTGTAGGGGTTTATATTAAAATAAAGACAAACTTTAGACTGCATTGAAAGTAATGAAAACTGGAGCGGCATTGCTACTGAATGCTGCGAGGCTGTGTTATTCTGGTGGTAAGGCAGACATAGGAGCTTGCAGATCTTTAATGTGAAATTACTGGGTTCTGATGGTAGCTGTGCTTCTGCCGTTTTTTCACAGAGCCTTGGTAGGAGGCTGAGCCATCACACAGTGTGGGATCATCCAGAGCTGGGAAGGAGTCTTGCTGAGGAGCACCGCAGTGCACATGCGGTTCCGCTCTCAGATGCCTCTTAGGTTTTTTCTTCCTTCTAGCACTAGAAGGCATCTGGATACTTCGATGTTGCGATGGCTGATTCAAGTACTGCTTTGTCAACTTCAAAATATTCCACTGGCTACTATTAAAGATATCACAAAAGAATTTGCTGAGGTCAATCCTGAGAAATTTCTTGCTGAAATGCAAATTTATTTATGTTTCCCATATATCAAACTGTTTTGCTACTGCAGTGTTCTTTAACAATGGTAATATGTTGCATTTTCAGCTTCTTCCAAAGCATGTGCTCCCCTGCCCAACCCTTTTATCTTCCCTGATAGGTCTGTCTCCAGGTTCCCATCACAGATGTGTAGCTGATGTTGCTGAGGTCTGCTTTGAGTCCTTTGCTGAGACAGAATTTAAAATCTTCTAGCAGTGACTTGGATATTCAATTTACCTGATGTTCAAGAGATGCCCAGTTGTTACCTGTGTTCAGGGTTGTCCAGCATAGGCTGCCATCACATAATAGCAGCTTTCTTCCCCAGCTCCTTGCTTTTTAAATTATGTATTACTATCTGCTACCCATAGCCAAAAGGCTGAATCACTCCATGTTGGCTGTTTAAATTAAAGAAAAGCAAAAATTAAAAAGGCAGCATTATCTAGTATGACTTGCTTTTGTTAAGTCTAGAGATGGTAGGCAAGAGTTGGTACCCATGTGCTATGCACACGTGCACATCAAAAAAGGATTTTGCCCTGTAAGACCTTATGAGTATAACCCTAGGCAAAAAATTGCTCTGTTTTTCTTGACATTTTTCAGAGGCAAGTCAGGCATTCTATGAAGAGTTATTGTGCCTAGTCTGAGGCCTGAATGTGATCTTTGTTACACTATCTTACAAGAATGTCAGTCTGAAGTACAGTCCTTAAAGCAACCTTAATTGTGAAGTCACTTCTAATGCCTCTGTTGTCCATTCCCATCAGACTTCTGTTAAATCTTTTTGTTTTTAATCTAGGAAATAATTTGTCTTCTAGTCCTGTTGTACTTAAAATGATTCCACATAATTCCACGATGGTTCTTTCATCTCATTGCAAAATCTGGGATGGCTCCTATCTGGCTCTGGAAATAAGTCTTCAGACATCCTCATTAATTGATTCCTTACTCTGGCATAACATAGGAAACGATGCTACTTCTCTCTCCCTGGGGAAATAGGAGCCTGTGTGCATCTGTCCTGTCTCCCTTTGTGCTTAGCCAGGCAAAGAGTCGCTCATGTTTTGTATTCTTTAGCACTGCCTACTTACTGCCTTGCTCTCAGTATTTGGTAGTAGCCTGGCTGTTTTTCACAGCCTGAAGATTTTGTTACTACAGAGTGAGATACTCTTCTATTATCTGCCTTATTTTCAAAAGCTCTTTATTCATTTTACTCCTAAGGTAAGACCTGTTTACTGTGATGTGTCTGAAGTGATAATATTCCAGGTGTGCAAAATGGCACCAAAGGTGGGTTTTGCACACTGAATTAGGTACTTAAGCCTCCCCTGAAACCTGCAGCTTCCAGCTTTTTCACTTCCCAGTTAGGCAAACACAGCTAATGCCGTGCCCCAAAGGTACCTCTTCCTTCTCCTTCTTGGCTCACTTGTGTTCTCTTTATGTTCTATTTCATGTTGCCTGAACCTGTTTCTGCCTTCATGTGGATGGAGTTAGAAAAATCTGAAAACTGTAAAAGCCACTAAAACAGTTATTCAAAATGCAGGCTTGTTGCCACGTGAGTTAATCTGCCTGCTAGCATGGCTTTTGCACCACAGGTTCAATCACCAGGTTTTGCCAGTTAAAGACTCATTTTTGCCCATGTTTCCAAGGCATTTCCCTGGCCTGGATATAGTTACCTTAGGGATTAATTGATCCATCATGATTTTGACCTCCTGCACCATCTACTCCCCATGAAATGATGGGGCTGTCACGCCTGAAGCAAGAATGTTGTGTGTGACAGACAGCTTTCTTTGTGACTGGGCTGGGATCACAGGCTTTTCTCCTAAAAGATACTAGAATGGCAAGAATCTCAGCACAATATCGAGTCCCTTTTTTTTTTTTTAATCTGCTGTCTTAGTCACAACCCTGTTAGTACAAGGTTTTATTATTCATTGCAATTTGATTTTATTCGTGGGATCAGGGAGGAAGCTATTTATTCCTTTCTTTTGATGTGTTGTAAAGCAATCTGAAATCACGGCATATAGAAAATAAAACTCTTAATTGCAAGCAAAGTGGGGAAAAAAAAGGCAATAAGCTCCCTGAATACGTTTGTCTCCCCTTTGCTGTTACATAAACTGTAAGTGTAGGTAGAGTACATTCACCTTCCTTTTTTAACATGAAAACAGCAGATGGGGCACATGGCTTTTTCTGAAGGTTATAGTGTGCAGCAGTGAGGATTGGCAGGGTTATTGTGTGTAAAGCCAGTGGGGGCTTTATCTTTGCTCAGAAATAGGGGTTTGCCTCACATTTCCATTTTGATTAGCAATAATGATACAAAGGCAAATTTTCTATGTGAGGAAGAGCTGCTAATAAAGTGATCTTTCAAAATTAAGTAGCTCAGTGAAGTGCCACACCACAATAAGAGTATACAAGGCTGGTCCCAGCTGCAGCAGGCAGGGAAAGTGGATGGGAATCCAGAGAAACGTGGAAAGGGAAGCCTGAAGTAGATGAATGGCACACAATGCCACAGTAATGGTAGCAAAGAGCAATGGCCTGGTGCTGTATCCAGCTCTGGAGAGGCCAGTTTATGATGTTTGAAAGGATCTGAAGGTGTGAAAGGCAGGGACAGAATGTTTCTAGCAAGGTTTCTGGCCACGGGGTAGACTATTGTCTTGTCAGTGTTGTAACATCCGTTGTGCTTGGATGCTGTTGAGAATATGTTTGCATGGCTTTACTCATGGTGAACACAGGGTAGAATTCGGGCTGTTTTGGGGATTCCTCTTGGATACAGGTGGAGAGCACTTAATACCACTCTGGTCCTAATTCAAAACCCTGGTTTCTATGTAGGAATTATTTGCTGTTAAACTCCAGCTATGCAGCCTTTGGCAAGAGACATGAATCAATTTGTCCAGCTTTTCTTTTCTGTTTTGTCTCTGTGTGAAGGCTGATGCCCAGTGTGTGCCAAGGGGGCCTTTCAGACCCAATAATGCGCCCTTGTGTCTCATAGCATGCGTGGAATTTGCATAGGCTGTGCTGGGACAGGCAGGTTTCTTTTGTTGCTGGAAACAAGGAGCAAGTTCTTTTCCCTGTCTCTGCTTCCTAATGCCTCTCCAAAAGCTCTCAGCACTCATGTAAGAAATTTACTTATTTCTATTTATTTTTGCATTAAATATTATTAAACTCTGTGCAACTTGTAACGCTGGCTGTGGAGAAGTTGTCAGTCAGTTCTAGTTGACAAAATTGTTTAATTTTCTTTCTCTGAATCTAGATATCTAATTGTCAGAGGGAGCAGATAATCTGTGATGCTTGATGTAACTGCTACGAAGTATTTGCATATCTTCTCTGTGGGGAAACAAAACTGCTAGTGAGTGAATAACAGTGCACAGATCATTGCAGGCAGGGTCACTGGGCCTATACACTTGCTATTAACCCTTCTCAGGATCTGTATCGCCACAGAATGAGTTGTCATGGGTTTCAGGCAAAGGGCTTGCTCCACATTATGGACAGAGCTGGCACTTGTTTTTGCATTGTAGCCCTGTGCAATGAAATGCGAATATGATCAGATCGATTGGCAGTTGCTTTTTGGCAGCTGATGCCGAGTTGTGGTGTTCTGGTCTTGATTTATTGCCAGTAAGAAACTGCTGAAAAACAGGCAGGGAGATTCTCAGAAAAATATGGTCTCCATTTGGAGTCAGCAGCATGATCGCTAGGCCACGCTGAGACATGCAGCTGGGAGCCTTTAAGAGCTTTCTAAAATTTTAGATGTCCTGGCAGATTGCCTTAAGGTCTGCCTTGCAGACCATCCTCTCCTCCATCCTCCTCATCTGTGGAGAGCAGTGGCAAGGGGAGAAGGTTTTGTGCGGGTTCTCACGATACAAGTGTTGCTGAGAGCCTGATTTCCTCTGATTTCAATGAGTATCTTTTTCCTTGTGTATTGTGAGTCCCAGATTTTATTCTCTCATTCTGATCACGCACCCTGGAAATCATGCCAAGTTGGTCTTTCAGGTGAAAGATGTGCAGCAGTAGCTCAGATGACTGGGTTCACAGGTAACTGGGTGGAGGTGGGCTGAAGTTAGGTGATTTACCAATGCGTGCTTTCTGTTCTCCCCTTCCTTGGCTACTGTCGATTTATATGAGAACCATAAATTTCTATTACCTGTGTGCTTGGCAGCTGCAGCTGAGAAATGGTGTTCAGGAGGAGCGGAGCTCACAGGTGAGGAGGGATGTTGAAACACTGGAAAGTATTCTGTAAGAGCCCAAGAATGATTAAAGGATTGGGGGAATGTCATTCAGTGAATGTCTCAGGGAGAAAGAGAAATATGTCCTCTCCTCAGGGTGTGCAAGCTGGGTGGGTAGGCAGCCTCCACCCAGAGCCCTGGAAGAACTGGCAAGACAACTCATATGGCCAGACCAGCACTTCCTAGCAGAGTATGACATCAGGCAGCAGCTTGTGACTAAGAATAATGACACTAATCCTCACATTTAAGTAAAAGAGGAATAGAAGAAGCAAACTAGGCAACTCTAGCTTGTGTGCTTGACTTCAGAAGCAAGTGTTTGAAACACTGGTGGGAAGATGGTAATGGAAGGCTTAGAGGTAGACGGAAATTGGGCTAAGCTTTAAGTGTGAGCATTCAGAGCATTTATTGACCTGACATCTCTTTTTGATAACTCTTTATTTTTATTTTAGACATGGTAAATGTAGCTTACCTAACCTCTGATAGGGATAAGTGTCTGTTATAGGTAGCCCTTAGCAGAGCAGTGTCTCAGATGCATGCCTTTTCCCATGCCACATGAGAAGCTACGAAAGGCAGAAAGTGGGCATCAGTAGAGAAAAGGGAGGTCGGATAAAGGACAGCTTGAAGAGGTAAAACTGGATGAATCAAAAAGAGATGTGTGAGGAGGAAGATTCCTGAGGGATCTTCAAGGACTGGTATTGAATGGCTTGTGCTAATACTGATAGGTTTTCTCTCACTCCAGACTCAGAGTGCCTAGCTGGTCAATTACTGTATCTGGCAGAGAGTAGCTGGCAGCTGGCAGCTTATTATTTGGGAGTGTTTGACCACATCAAATGGGTTGAACGGTGCATCAGTGTAATTGCACATTTTATGATCTTAAAAACAAAGTCCTGGGGCATGGGAACTTCTTATTTGTTGATAGGAACGTAGTGATGATGGAACAGCAGTGGGACCTGATGAGTATAAGATGGCCATGGAAAAAGATTGAGATTTATACTTTCAGGCCACAGGGAGGGAATTTCTGGGGAGGAAAAGAGACAGAACCAAACTTATCTATGATTGAGAGTGTTAAGTTAATGTAAAATATTGGGTGTCATATCTGTCTGAGCTAGTAGGATGCAGATACAGTGAAATCTTTAGCTGGAAGTTGTAATGTGTTGCATATGTTACCATCACACTAAGGATAGCTAGTCTGGGGCCGTGCTGTACAAACAGGCCAGAAATTGTTTTGCTCCAAAGGGAAATATAACTGTGCTATGCTGAACACTCACCAAAGACAGACAGTGCTGATGGTGTAGACTGGTAGCTCCCGTGTCAGCAGATGTCTCCTTCAGGGCAGACCAGCTGGTTGTAAAAAATCAAAGCAGTGAGGACTTACTATTTTCTTTTTCTCCTTCCCTTTTTTCCCAGTGATGCCATCTGCAATTTCGTCATTTGCAATGACTCCTCCCTCCGTACCCAGCCGATCATCTTCAATCCTGACTTCTTTGTGGAAAAGCTGCGCCATGAAAAACCAGAGGTGTTCACAGAGCTTGTTGTCAGCAACATTACCAGGCTCATCGACTTGCCTGGGGCAGAGCTGGCCCAGCTGATGGGAGAGGAGGACCCAAAGCTGCCTGGGGCAAACAGCACAGCCTCTGGATTTTTTCGTTCTCTGATGTCTCTGAAGCGCAAGGGTGAGTTTCGCATGAGGTTTGGTGCCCACCTCAAGCGTAATGCTGACTGTCATCACCCGTAGTTTACAAAACTTTCATCTTAGGCCTGTTGTCATAGAATCATAGAACTATTCAGGTTGGAAAAGACCCTTGGGATCACTGAGTCCAACCATCATCCCTACTGTACAGTTCTCCTCTAAACCATAGCCACCACCACCACATCTAAACAACCCCATCCAGGGATGATGACTCAACCACCTCCCTGGATAACCTATTTCAGTATCCAACCACTCTTTCTGTGAAAAAAAAATTCCTATTGTCTAGCCTAAACCTATCCTGTTGCAGCTTGAAGCCATTCCCTCTTGTTCTATCTATTTTGAGCTCATGCTGAATGCTTAGTACTTCAAGTTTGTAACTGGGGAATTCTCTAGAAGGAAGCAAAACAGAGGCCAGGAGGTACATCCTGCACATGCCCTGCCACATCTACAGTGCCTTTCTTCTTGTGATAAATGCTGTTCTTTATGTTAGGTTGACCTTGCTGATTCAGCTGTTTCCTGTGTTCTGTGCAGCACAAACCAGAGACACAGCTCTTGTCTCTGAGTGTTTCTGGTCAGGCTCTGTGGATAGTGCTGAGATAGAGAAGGGTGCCTGAACAAACTGCAGGTTCTTCCAATACATACCAGTCTGTCCTTGTGTCCCTGCTTTTTTGTGTTCATTGTAGTCCATGCTCTGTGTTCCTTACCTTATTAGCTTTCCTCATTAGTAGTAGAATATCAATAAAGGCTGAGAGCATCAGGTTCCATGAAGAACAATAATGCCCAGGTTTTCTAGGGCACTGACTTCACTCAGGGTCCAGTGTCTCCTTCAGTTGCTGTCCCAGCTCTCTGGAAGGTCTTGTCTGTGCAGCTCAGAAATCTGTAAACATATCCCATCCAAATGCCAGTGCTGCTCTGATTTACATCCCAGTTCAGTGAGTCAGTGGCAGAGCTCTGCAGGCTATCTCTGCTCAAGCACAGATTCAACCCCAGGAGAGGACATATTTCTCTTTCTCCCTGAGACAAGCATTCAGCTGGAGTTTTCTTCTGGTAAACTGACTATTTGTATCTTCTCTTTCAAGTTCAGCTGTCTCAGTTATGAAACATTAGCCCCAGGCCCCTTCTCAGAAGTCTGGGATTTGTTTTTGAGCATATTTTGTATTCACATCTCTTCGCTGCATGGCATTTACCACTCTTCTGTTGTAACTAAAAGCATGTTCTGTGTGTGTGAGCATGCCTTCTCCTACCTTTGCTCACACTGAAGGGGAGCCTGGTTCTTCTGGTAAGTTCAGTTAAATCTTCTCACTCATCTAGACAGAAACTGCCTCCATCTGAGCACCTCTCACATCCCTCATCCACTCTGATTTCCTAGCTAGAATGGTTGCTGGCAGAGAAGCTGTGGGTAGCTGCCTTCAGGTGTTGGCAGCCTGAGGTTGAACACTTTTAATTAGTCTTCATTTTCTTGAAGCGATTCTGCTATTGTGAGTACCTCTGAGAAGGAAGCCATCATGGCTTTTTTTTTTTCCCCATGAACCTTTATATAATGGTTCTAAGTGGTTTAGATTCTACCCAACCTATTCCTCCATTGTGTTTCATAAGGACAAGCTCTGCAGTTCCACTGCTTGGGCTGAATTTTCTGGTGCTGGCTTCAGCCCTCCACTCCTGTCTCACCTGGTGGGAACCCCGGTAGATAGACTCACCCTGGGCCAGACAGCACTGCAGGGAATCAAGTGCTGCAAATGAGTCCTTTAGCATCCTTAGGTGAGAATTACTCAATATTGCCATGTCTTACCTTCCTGCTCCGTAATAACAGGGCTTCACACTTCCCCCACATTAGAGTTAGTGCTTATACCTCTTACTGCTCCTTGCTCTGTTCCAAGAGAGTAGCAGGAACACCTTAAATTCAGGCACTTGCCACTTGACAAACAGAAGTGAGTGAATACCCAAGTTGGAAATGTTTTCTTTGCATGTATGGAAACTTCCCTGTTCTTGTCAAAACCTTCTAGCACAGGCTTGTGAGTCTTCTCTAGCTCGTTTTTAAAAATTATCTGTACTCTTTTGGAGTACTACTCTTATCAGACCTGACATCTCCTGCCAGCTTTCTTCCCCAGGAGCTCCTCCTTCCTCTGTTCAGACGTTTCCATGGCCATGTGTCTCACTACAGATACAGCTAGCAGATGTTTCTGAGTCTGCTGGCTGCACTCCCAGGCTGCAATGGCAATGACTCCCTGCCTTGACAGGCACTGTCTGTGAGCTCCTTGGCCAAACTCTGAGGAAAAAAAAAAAAAAAGTAGTTTGTGCCTACAGAGAAAGTCAGTTTGAAGTACTGCGTGTTTCATCTTGGAGCCATCATTTGTTTTTCTTCATGTCATAGACCAGTTAGAACAAACAGGTTTTATTTCTTCAAAGCCAGAGGCCAAGGACCATAGAGCTCAGAGCTGATCAAACTGCAAATACTTACAACTCCTTTGAGCATTAGGAAACTCAGTCTCATGCTGCTGCTTAGTTTCAGAAGCAATCATACAATAACATCTAAGCCTTCACAACTCAGCATCCATTCTCCAGATGCTTCTTTCAAGTTTCTTTGAGAATCAAATTCTCATTCAGATATCTAACTTCTGACTTAAAAAGTAAATTGAATTTGTTAGGCCCTGCATGTCTCAAGAAGATGTATTTTCCTCTTCCCTTCCTGGCTACTATTGATTCTAGCTATTTAATGTCTAATGAGTTCAGTTTTCTTCAAGTACAAGAATCTTTTGCAATACCTTTGCACTCAAGCCTTTCAGATCTTATGATCAAGAGGTCACATTGTCCTCCTTTCTCCTGCAAGACTGAAGCATGTGCTTTATCAGAGGGAGGTCAGAAAGTTCTTGATTTAACAGGAGGCTGAAGTTCTTGGTGGCTTACCATGTATTTCAGAAGAAAGTGGAACGTTCTACAGGAGGAATAAATTTAGTTGTACAAGAAGGCTGCTGGAGGAGTGCACAGGGTTAACCAGGTCTTTCCCACATGCTGTGAGCATCAACACCACAGAACAGTAAGATCTGTAGTACAGTAGACCAAAAGCTAGTAAAATAAAAATGTGCTGGTGGGGGGAAGGCAAGAGAAATCTTGTGGGCAACATAACTCTTATCAGACCAGCCAATGCACTACTTGGATTGCTGGGGTATCAGCTGTAAAATTAAGGAGAGAAATCTTCAGTCACAGATACCTGGGGTGCAGATGGCCAGCTTGCCCTCAGAAGTGGCCCATGCTCCTGGCAGTCTGGTCATGGAGAAGGGAAGAATATTCTTCTCTTAAACTTATTTGCTTTTTGAAGCTTAAGTACAAGGGCACAACAACCCAGCTCTATACCTGGTTCCAGTTCTCAGTCCATCAACACATTGCAGTATCCAGCTGGTGTATCCAGCATCTTCTCTCTAGCTGCAGTCAAACCCTATATGCATCTGAGGGAAGAAATAGTGCTCAGGCCTCTGCCTGCTACCAGTGAAGCCCACGGGAGTTGTCTTAGCTTTCTGAGGGACAGAGCTTGCTGGCTGTGTGTCTGACAGAAGAAGCCACTCACCAGCAGGACTCATTTATTAGAAAATGCTATCCTGCTGGATAACCACTCTCTTCCCTGGGGAAGCCCCTCTCTGCAATAACAGTTTTGTGCATTGGTTCAACAAGTACTTTTCAGTGAAATGGGCTTCTCATCTAATGTTTCCTTCCTTTTAGCTCAGGTGCTTCTATCTTCTTCTGGAGCTGTAGCCTATGTTGAATGGAGTTCTGGAGCTGGCATGCTTGATCTGTAAGAGCCTCATGAGATGAAAAGCTCTAGGAGTCAGAGGAGCTGTCAGTGCTCCATATGGAGAAGGGCCCAGCTCATTGCTTTGCTACTTGCTTTTTTCCTAGCTTGTCCTTATTCAACTTTCTAGTGCTTCATGCTTTACTGTATACAGACCAAGGCAGCTGGCGTGGAAGAGAGACTCACTGCAATTAGGGAATTCCAGGGATTACCCATCCCTGAAAAGGAGGTCAGTGTGAGCCAGGTGGGTCTGCTCTCCCCACTTGTGTTTGTTTTCCTCTCCCATAATCTCATAGCTGCAGCTCTTTTTTCTGTCTTTTCATGTCAAGCCACGGTGAGGATTCATCTGGAGATTCCTTCCCAGGTGTGGAGCATGCAGATGTGGCAAGCACCTGGGCATTTCAGACTGTTACATTTACCCTTCCCACTTTGCTGTTGCCATAAGGTCTAGGCTTGCACATGAGACGCCCTTTGAAACTGAAGCACCTGTTCTGGTGTTGTTTTCTTTTCAGGAGCTAGAGAATGCTTTAGCTGATAAAAACTAATTAAGCTGAGGTAGTAAGAAGCAGGATGATGAAACCCTTGTAAGTACAGCATGGTGAGATGAAGTGACTTATTGGTAGTGCTTGTGATACCTCACATCTGTTTGGGGTCCTTGTGACCTTCACCCTTAGTGTTTTGGGGCATTGGTCTTCGCATGCTGCAATCCTCTTCTTGGGGGATCACTCATCTCTGTGGTTCTTGGACTCTGAGCTTCCTGAACACATTATCTTTTGTTCTGCAGAGAAAGGGGTAGTGTTTGGCTCCCCGCTGACAGAAGAAGGCATTGCACAGGTCTCACAACTGATCGAGTATCTGCACAAAAGTAAGTGACTGTCTTTCTGTCTTGTTCAGGTCTCTGGTGCAGACAGTGTGAAAAGCTCTGAGCTCTCCAGCAGCAGGGGCTTGGGGCTAGGCTAGGTGATTGGTCCCCAAAATTACCCAGCAGAGATGTTAACCTCTCTCGCACTGCACATGGACTTTTTCTATGGATGGGAGACAGCTTGAAATCGTATCTCTGAATGGAGCTTGCTGAGGTTTACTGTCAAGCTCTGGAAAGGGAAAGGAGCTGCTTTAGTAAGAAGATGGGAATCAGTGTCTGATTAATCAGTGGCCTTTTTTCTCTCCTCTGTCAAGCAGATCTAAGAGCAGAAGGCTTGTTTCGGGTGCCAGGCAACAGCATCAGGCAACAGATCCTAAAGGATGCTCTGAACAGTGGTACAGATATTGACCTGGACTCTGGGGAGTTTCATTCCAACGATGTGGCCACCCTGCTTAAGATGTTCCTGGGTGAATTACCAGAGCCACTGCTGACACACAAGCACTTCCATGCTCACCTCAAAATTGCAGGTGAGTGAGGAACAAGAGGCAGTGGTGAGCAGAGGGAATGGCGCCAGTCTCCTAGAAAGCTGGTAACACTACAGAGCTGCACACTAGGCTGTGGAAGTGTAATCCTTAAAGGCAGGGTAAGAAGGAATCTTCCTGCCATTTCACCTTAATAGTGGAAAGACTGGAACTCAAAATGCTAAGGAATCAGACCAAGTCTGTCTAGCCCAGTCTTCTCTCTCCAGCACTAAGCAGTAGAGCCCACATTGGTAACCTGAGTCTCCATCTGTTTTAAGTCTGAGGGTCCCCTGAGTGAGGTGTGGTTTATGTGTACTTAGTAACTCTTACTGAACTACCTTAAGTGAACCTCCTCTGTTTACCCTTCAACCCATCACAACTTTTAGCAACTGTCTTGTCCTGTGGGAGGAGTACCACAGATCAGCTCATCAGATGGGGAACTTGGGAGCTGAGAGAAGCGAGACAAAGAGCCAAGAATTGTGCAGGAGTTTGGAGGAGATTTGCATGTGAAGAGGGAAGGGTAGCTGGTTGCTATAGGTCTGCTGTTAGAGAAGGTAATACATGTCCTTCATCTTCAGTTATGTATGTCCTTCATGTTTTGCCTTGTGATTTGGCAGACTTGACACTGTTTGATGAGAAGGGGAATAAGACCAGCACTCCAGACAAAGAGCGCCAGATTGAAGCCCTCCAGCTGCTGTTTTTGATCCTTCCCGCACCCAACCGCAGTCTGCTCAAACTGCTGCTGGACTTGCTCTACCAGACTGCCAAGAAGCAGGACAAGAACAAGATGTCTGCCCACAATCTCGCCCTCATGTTTGCTCCCCACATCCTATGGCCCAGAAATGTAAGCAGTGCCCTCCATATCTATAGGTGGGATATTGTAGGGTAGAAAGCAGAGGCTTGATGGGCCTATGGGGGAAGAGCCAAGGTGGGAAGATTAAGTACAGATACAGTGAAGCGATGTTTGGAGGTTGGGATGGTGAGGTGGAGCTTCCTGGCAGGACTCAGTCCTGGTATTCAGTCCAGACCTGCTGTAGGTCTCATTTGCAACTGATTCTTCATCTTCTCCAGTAAAACTGGAAGAACAGCACAGTCCTGCTTCTTTTAAGTATGACAACTCCAGACAAAGACGTTTCTTGTGCTGCTGGTGAACTGTTTGGTCCCAGAGTTGTCTAGTTCTCCTCTCAGAGCAGGTTGGCTCTGTGAGCTCTGGTTGTTGGTGTGCTGTGAGCCCTGCCTACCTGTCTCCTTGGAGCAGGCCTCCTACTGAGGCACTGTGTGTGTTTATGTCCCAGGGACAGCCAGGGCAGCAGAGAGCCTTCCTCCTCCCCTTCTAATTGCTATGCCTTTGACTGTGTCCCCTTGCCAGGTGACAGCAAATGACCTTCAGGAGAATATCACTAAACTAAACAATGGAGTGACCTTCATGATCAAACACTCTCAGAAACTCTTCAAGGTAAGTGCCCTTTGGAGTCTTGCTCTCCCTGGCCCTTCAGCAGGGGACTGAATGCTCCTTGTCCAGACAGATTCCAGATGTCAAATGTTAATTCTGGGGGATCTTTTCTGCAGTAGGAGAAGTAGGATTATTATAAGAAACCGTTCCTTTAGTGATTAGGGAGGAGGTCTTTGCTGGACAGGCAGCCCACGAGGAAGGGCATCCTGGAGGTGGCTTTGCTGGGCAGGTCAGGAGCACGGTGCAGTAATACCTCCCTCTGCTGGGCACCCAGCACCTGCTGCCCAGTCAGGAAACCTGGTTCCTGGAGGCAGGTAGCCACCAGGCTCCCTTCGGGTTCTGGCAGGGTAAGGAATGTGAAGGGGCTTGTCTTGGATGAGTGCTGCCAAGAACTGAATCCCTCATACAGAGGGTCATTTTGTTGAGAACTTTTCTGCACGTTGTAGTTGACCCACTGCCATTAGAAGCACAGCTTGTAGTCTTGGGCCTCTGTCTAGCTCAGAGCAGGGTGCTGCTGGGAGTATGGGGCAGTCTGCAGGTTTCTCCAAGAAGGTGTTTCTGCAACAATCTCTTGACTTCTCATGGCCTTTCTGACCACTGTAGGCATCTGCTGTCTGCAAAGAGTCCTCCCATAGGAAGTTCCTTTTCTGCCCTCTTTGTCAGGCCCCTGCTTGGCCAGCTCAGAGCTGGGGGAATTGCTTGGAAAAAGTTCCTATGGAGCCCTGTTCTTACTGTGTGTTCTACTTGTGCTGATTGTCTGTATCAAAAGAAAACTCTGAACAAGGACAGCACTGGGGACATGAAATCCTATTGCTGAGTCTCTGTGGAAGTGGCTTGTGTGGTAAGGTGGCTCTTGCTGGGGCCACTCTTGCCCCAGGGCCAAACAGACTAAACATACGTTTGGCCTTTTCTCTGCTTATCGTCACAGGCTCCAGCGTATATCCGGGAGTGTGCCAGGCTGCACTATCTGGGATCTAGAGCCCACACATCAAAGGTAAGGTCAGCAAAGGCAGTGCCTGCCCTCCAGGAAAGGGCAGAGGCTGTGACACTATGAAGGGATCCTTGTGAGTGAAAGAAGCTGAAAACAAAGCAAGTCATGAAAGAGGAGCTGTCAGAGAGCAGGAAT